TTCATCTGAATCCTCAAGGATAACAGCGCATCTGTGACCCTTTATTTTTTTATAATATTAATTTATTTTAATAATCTATACATATAATAAATCTGTAGAAAAGTCGTGTCTGTAATTCTAATATATTCTTGAAAAACCAAGTCTTCTATATCTATACATATAATAAATCTGTAGTCTATACATATAATAAATCTGTAGAAAAGTCGTGTCTGTAATTCTAATATATTCTTGAAAAACCAAGTCTAGGGGACTAAATAAAGGGTTCTGAAGCCAAATTAGTGGTTTTTAGAATTTTTGTCTGTCTGTCTTTCTGTCTGTCTGTCTGTCTGTCTGTGTATTCCGGATTCACGTAAAAACTAATGAACCGATTTACATGAAATTTTGTATATAGGTAGTGAGTAACCCGGGGCAACTTATAGGCTACTTTTTATCCGATTACAGAACTTCAAAAAAGGTAGGTTATGTATTCTATTTCGTTTAGATGTTAATTTTCTATTATATCTTAGTTATAGGCGAGATAACGGGTGTTTTTCAAATAAAAACCATATTTGTAAATAAAGTTTAAAATATAGTTATGATCTTGGTAAAATAATTTGAAACTACACCGATTTGGTATTCAAAACAGCGCCATCTATCATCAAATGGAAGAAGTAGTATATTTTGCCTTCAGTTACTAATAAATTAAAAATAATATAAATAATACATTTATATAAAAATTCTAACTTTTAGTTTTTTTAGTATTTTCGTTATTTTATTTTAAAAGTGTAATAATTTTATTAGATAATAGTGACGTCTTTAAAACAGGTCTGTCCACAATTGTTGACGTATTATTATATATGACGTATTAGAATAATTGGATCATTTAGATTACATTCATCCTGCGTTGGAATCACCGCAGCGAAGACTTTTTTGGTCCAAAACTCTGCGGCCTGTGCCCAGTAGTAACATGTATGTAAGCTACTACTTTTTTACTTTTTTATATTATGCAGTTTTTATTTCATTCGTGTTTTCGGCTATGTTACTTTTTGTTTTCACTCTGCCGTAAATATTAAGGCTTGCAAAGATGTGTAGAACTCATTACCGTCAGCCTATCAAAAGTCCACTGAGATGAACATAGGCCTCCCGCATAAATAGTCAAGTGGCTGGATATTTACTATAGTTGCCACGCTTGGTAGGCGGGTTGGCAACCGCAGCTATTATTATTTTGATCTGTTGTCAAGAAGATGATGCAGCCCATCCCATCTCCAGTTTGTTTTCCTATGTCGCCTCTTACGAGGTGGTGGATTTTCTTACACCGCCACAACAAGGCGAACATTTTTCTACCCCATGGGTATAGTGCTCCTCACGTTCACTGTGAATAAAATTTATAAGGAATAAAACTAATTTGAAGGATTTTATCGCTTTTAATTTTAACTTTTCAAATTCTATATATTATATATATAGTGTTCTATATATATATATATATATATATATATATATATATATATATATATATATATATATATATATATATATATATATATATATATATATATATATATAGTGTTCTATTGCAAGGATTTGTTGTCTATCAGATCCGATGTAATGGTTGGGACGATACTAAACATGTTGACATACTTTAGACTTTCCGGAGCTTCGGTGCTGCACATCAACGATATGTTCTTTTACTCAGAACTTTCATCTAAAATGCGTAAAAAAATCCGTAACTATAGTTTTAATCGATGTGTAGTATTCATTATTATAGATCTCTATTTATGAAATTTACAAGTCTAACTCCAAGTAAAAAAATATCTACATCTATATTTGTGGTGCCAATCAATATTAAATAAGACCAATGATATGAATAAAATGTCTCAAATAAACATTATATTACTTTGTTAAAACTAAATTTACTTTAACTATAAATAAATGTAAAGAGTAAAATGTAAATAATAATATTACATTTTGATTTCAACTATTTACCTTTCTTATGGATACATCGGAATTCGGAAGACAGGCCCGATATAAAAAATAGCAGGTGTTTCTAGACATATGTATATTATATTCACGTGTTTCTGTAGCATGTTACCAATCCTCTACGCCTAATAGTATTTTAGAATGAAAAAATCTTTGACAGACATAGAGACATAGACACCGAGGTGACTAAAAGTGATCGAATTTTTCTAAATTTGGCACGGAACAGCATTTAATGATGTTCCTAAATTCAAGCGCACGCGAGCGAAGCCGCGGGTAAAAAGCTAGTATTATTTAAGGTACGATCCGAGTAGTTTAAATTCAAAGTGAAAGTAGCCCGGGTTAACTGTGACATTGGGACGTCAAACATCTCAGCCCTTTCCCCTCCTTTCCTCTCCCCGTGTTCATTGGTACAGTAAAGCATTTGAAACGTCAGGGATTAAAATAATTACGTGGTAGGGCCATGCTACAAATATATTATAGTTATAGCACTAATGGATCAGCTCGACCGGGGAAGGATCACCCGTTCACAGAATACCAGCGTAAAAGTACAGCTCAATGCTGATTCGTACGGTGAGTGCAGAAACGGAAACCCTTTTTACTGGAAACGAAGCATTCTATCTTAGTCCTCAGGGATTACAACGCGTCTGCATTTTGATTGCATTTAGATGTCCATGGGCCACAGAATACATTTACCATTAGATGGACGTGTGCTCGTTTGTCACCCTTATTATACATTTTTAAAAAATATATCTAATTCTCTTGGCTGTTTCTACCGCTAAATAACAGTGATCGTGCTGCGGTCTGATGGCAGTCTACAACCTATAGACAGTAAAGGTTGTAGACTGCCTGTATAAATATAGGCTATGGGACATTCCATCTTGTCGCTTCTGAAGCCGAGTTTGTTTGAAGTTGCCTGAAGGTGAGGACTGCATTAGTCAATTACCATCAGGAAGACAATTAGCTTGCTTGTCATTTCAATTATATCAAAGGAGAGCTATATAATATTGGATAAATTGAACCTTAACACGGTGCAGTAAGGTCTATTTTACAAAACAATAGAAAAATCCCTAAAGTCTATAATATTTAATATTCAACGGCTCGGTAACGAAGTCGCTAAGAGCTTGCTACGGCGCCGTTGTTCAGGTACGATTCCCGCACGGAACAAGTGTTAGTATAGCTTATTTTCTTGGGTCTGCATGTATGCAATTTATGTAAAACTCTTCCACGATACAGGAGAAAACCCTTATTTTACCTTAATTTAATGCTTATTAGCTATCTATCTTCACCTCTAACACGTGGCTGGTTTTACTCCACAATGTGATGTAGGCGCGGGACCTAAAACTATCCGGCAGCGAGGTTTTAGCACGGCGACCGTGTGGCACTCAAAGTCGGTAAAAACTAAAAATCACTGCGGTGCGATACCAGCAACGCAACGTCTTTGTTCGCGTATAATTTTTCTAACCCGAACAAGACCCACCACCAGCACATAAGACGGTGCTGGCTAAGTGACTACTATATAACTTTTAAACGATTTCAAAAAGGAGGAGGTACTCAATTTGACTGTATTTTTTTGTATGTACCTCATAATTTTTTCTAGGTGAACCGATTGTGAGATGCTGGTACTACTCATGTGTTCCCATATAAATTTGATCAAGATGTTACCAGTAGTTTCTGAGTTATCCTTAATAATTTATATTAAAGTCGGTTGTACAAAATATTTAATTTTAATTAAAATTAGTAAAACATTACTTCGCGTACATCCGCTCGACAAAATAAAATTATGTGTCTTACCTAGTTTGAAGAGCACCTCCCGCCCTCCCTCAATTGTGTGCACTATCACCGTCACCACTAATCCCAGTACCACTACTCCCAACACCACTACACTAGGAAAGACACACCACTGACGACAATGTATGGTTTAACTTTAATATAATGGACTTTCGCAAAGTAACGCCTGATTCTATTAATTATTTTTAATTTTACCACTTGTTTGTTCATAATAAGTATCCATGATAGTTCAAGGACTTAAGCGTTCACAGTAAATTTAATAGTATCTACGCGAGAATTCAAAATTCGAACCTCGCCGGCACCAATGCAGTTGATAATTGCAATTTTAAATACTACTTTACCGCTCGACGTTGAATGGCAATATCGTGAGGAAAACGGCTATCTCATACATGACATTTTTTTTTAAAAAGCAATGCTATTATCATGACTAATACTCCCGTTAACCACTCCTGGTGAGCTTAAAACGCTTATGTTACGAGTGGGTCACGACAGTAGTCGACTGGCGGATTCAAACCCACAACCTTTTGAGTTTGCGGTTCGCAACCTGACATTATTTGCATTGCAAGAACAATAGAACAACTCAAAATCCGATAATGTGATTTTTCAATCTCACTACAATGTAAATTTTTTAGTCTTTTTGTAGTTGCAAAAGGGAAGATTATGCTTACTGCCCATCTGCTATGATAGATAGCGTGATGATATTTTTTTATTCTAACGGTTTGGCCCCTACGTCCTATCCAAATTCGTACTCTGGTTTTTGTGTGATGCGTATCCAGACAGACACAACGTTTATAAAAAGTTTTGTTTTGGCATCTGTATTGATATTATTTTGAATTTGTATATATTTTTGTGAAATTTGAATTGAGCTACACTATGTAGTGTAGCTCAATTCAAATTTCAAAGAAATATTCAATATACAGAAATTGCCGTATAGTTTTGTTATAGTGTAGATAGAGCATTACTTGAACTGAGCTTGAAACGCTTGAATTGGATTGGCAACTGCAGTGTTTCATTTTCTAGTTCTTATTAGGAAGATGCTGCTGCCTATCTTCTGATTTGTGTCACTCTTACGTCTTACAATATCCACTGGACAATATGGGTTAGTGGATGTTCTCAGACCGCCACTATATGGTATATAATAAAACACAGCATTTTTATTAATGAATATACTTAAATACATTAAAAATATAAATAAACACTAATGGGGACATTTAACAAAAAATTACAAACATAAAACTAAATTAAGTACAGCACAATCATGTACATTTGAGCAAACTATTTTGCATTTCCTTGTATTGCTCATTCTTTATCAGATGCTTCACCAAACATTTCATTTGTGCTAATTTCTTTCGGAGTCTTCTTTTTGATTGCCACATGAGATTCAACCTCCTTTTTCTCATTTCTGCAAGTGCTTCCAATCTTCTCACTTTATACTTTAGTTTCACCACTTCCTCTGAATCAGTGGGGTTTACATTGCCAGGCTCCATAATGCATATAGTTGGTTCGGGCTCTTGGCATGGCTAAAATTTAAACAAAATGTTCACTAAATTGACATTCACTACAGCTCATCAAAAGTCCAAAACTGAATACATATGCCTCCCCCATAGGTTGCCTCATTGTTGGGATATTTGCTATTGTTACAATGCTTCCCGGGAGGGCTGACAACCGCAGTTTTTATTTTTTTTAAATGTTATCATAAAAATAGATCTCTATGCCGCCTCTTATGAAACCTATAGAATAATATAAGGTAGTGTATTCTCTTACACCGTGCCGCTATTGCACGGCAATTTTACTCCACTGATATATGTTTATTTTTTAAATATAGAATAAGGATTAGAAACGAGCACACAGTCCACCTGATGATAAGCGTATGCTGTGGCCCATAGAAATCTACATCTATCCTTGATTAAGAATCAAAATGCAGATGTGTTGTCACCCCTGAGAATTAAGATGGAATGCCTCATTTTCAGTAAACAGGGTCTCCGGTTAGAGAACCAGAGTGTAGAGACACTCACCATGCGAAACACAGCAACATTGAGCTGCTATTTTATGCTGGTATTCTGTGAGAGCGTGGTCCTACCCCGGTCGAGCCGACCCACTCATGCTACAACCATAATTTAGCTGCAGTATGGCTCTAAAACGTAAAAATTTATTTAAAAGTAATTGTAATGAGTTCACAAATTTCAGTAACAGCAGTGAGGATGATATAGATTTTTTTCTAAAGTTAACTATGCTTGTGTGTGATGACTGCTGTTCGACAAATAAAGCTTTGGCGAGTGACTAATGGACTCAAATTCTGTCAAAAAATACCAAACCTGAGCCCACGAGCTGCAATTAAATATCCACATCTAAAATTGTATAGCCTACAAATGATTGATTCGAGTCTAGTTATTTGCCCACATGTACCAAATGTCTGTAAGCAGCTCTAAGATAGGAAGAAAATATACGACAGTCAGAAGTAAATCTTATATTCCCCCTAATAAAACTTTACTTTTTCTAATATTTTATTTATGCTCTCTGTAACCACTTCATAGTGTTAACACTTCCATAAGGTTGCCTTGCATAGAATCCCTTTAACATTAAGTCTGCCTTTTGATCCTGTACTGTTTTATAAGATTCTATAGATTCGTAAATAAAGCTTAAGTACATTAATAAATAATTAATATTGTGCAAAGTAGATAATCATTATTCTATTCAATGTTTTCAAAAAATTTATTTCAATGGTTTTGTTTTGCAAGAAATTAGAAACAACTACCTGCAGTTATAAGGCTGATAATATGTCACAGTCAAAACTCATAACCAGTCAAAACCACTTGACTGCAAAAGTCAGGCAAAAATGTTTTTGACCGATGCCCTTAGCCAAAAACAGTTTTGACTGATTTTTGTAGTTAAAAGTGGTTTTCACCAACATTCTTAGTCAAAAGTGGTGTTGTCTGATTTAAACTTCAGACTATTAGTCAAAACTCGCAATATCAGTACCAGAGCTGAGGTGGCCCGTAAATTATAATATTATAAAATATAATATTGAAGAAATTAAACTTTTTAATTTCAGAAATTCAAAAAGTATAAGTCAAAAGAAGTTTTGACTAACATTGTTGGTCAAAACCACTTTTAATGGATGTAATTTGGTTAAATCACTATTAGTAGTTAAAAGTGGATTTGACCAACGGCCTTAGTTAAAACTACTTTTGGCTGCAAAATTCAGTTACAAGTGGTATCAACAAATATCCTTATTCAAAACTACTTTTGTCTGATTTTTTAGTCTAAAGTGGTTTTGAACGGTTATGAGTTTTCACTGAAACATACACAAAAACCAGTAACACTCAAATATAATTCCTTCAATATGCTATTACTAATTACACCAAAAAAACACAACATCAATTTCAAATAGTATGTAAAACTTTATACCGAAATATTTATAGAAGGTACAGCATTTAAAGAAAGTCTTCTTAAGCCACTCTCTGTCAGGTAAAAGTCATTGGTGGCAAAATGTTCAGAGCATACTGCACTTGATGATGTTGAACACCATCCCTCCTCTCTATTTACTGCAATCTCCCATTGATATTTTCTATTTTTATCTCTAGGAAATCTGCAATTTACAATTAACATTTTTTTTTAAATATATATTAATATCTGATACTTAGCTTTAAAACAGAAATTCGGCTATAATTCAATAATAGAAGAGCAAGACAATTTGGACAGGCTGGCGCCAAGTTTAAATATTATATTATAATAAAAAAATAAAACATTTTATCTTCAAATATTACACTGAATTCTGTGCTTCATATGGGTACTGCAATTTGAATATAACTCTGTTATTAAGTTAAACAACTAATAAGAAGCACAAGATACATATTCGATATATTATATTTTGATATGGAGCTTTAAATTTTGTTGTCTACATTCATTAATATTTTTAATGTATGTTGTGTTCATTGTTTATTAGAAAAATATTAATCTACAATAGCTGTCGTAGCTATAATAATCTGAAAAAAAAACAATGAAATAATCTGATATAGTAAAATAACAGAGAAAAAATGTAATAACCTATGAAATGTAATCCCATTTTTATGCTTTGATATTTTTCCTGATGAATTTTTACAATTTGAAACAACGCAACCAACCATTAAAAATGGTTCAAGTTAGTTCTACAGGTAGTTGAGTCTTAAGAAAATAAATTAGTTAATTTTGGAATCTTATGACCAACTGCACATCACAAGAAAATAAACAAAAACAAAAACATCAACAAAAAAAGAATAATGTGACGCACTTTTTTTTTTAAGAAGCAAGTGTGAATGTAAATTCTTGCGCTTTTGCCACACAAACTAGGAGGAGGCAGCAGTGGGTTTGTGAAGGGCTGTAATGTGATGATGATGGTGATGATGATAATATTAGTTTTCCTTCTTAGCCGGCTTCTAAAAACAGGGAGGTTGTTTATTAGACGCTTATGTGATTAGACTAGACTAGACTTTTGCGCAGTAGAGATATTCTGCAGCTATGTTATTGCTATATTATTGTAGCACTAATGAGCCGGCTCGAGCGAGAAAGGACCACGCTCTAACAGAATACTGGCGTTAAATAGCAGCTTAATGCTGCTGTGTTTGGTATGTTGAGTGTAGAGAACCAGAGACCCTTTTTGCTGGAAATGATCCATGCCATCTTAGTCCTCAGGAGTGACAACACAACTGCATTTTAATTTTTAACTGACGATAGATGTATTAGATATCTATGGCCTACAGTATTCACTTACCATTAGGTGGACTGTGTGTTCGTTTGCCAGCCTACGTTTACTCTATTAAAATACACTATGAAAAACTTCAGAAAGATCTCAATGGTTCTTATGGATGTTAATATTTCCAGCTCGTTTATGCCAGACGTAAAATGAATAAACCGGCGATGGGGACTAGCGACAAATTTTCGAGGCCTCTAGTACTGCAATAGCTAATACATTAACATAAACACTCACCCAGAGGGGTAGGCAGAGACTACGGACTTCCTTTTGGCGCGATCCTGACACACCTCTCTCGCCTCTTTAACATCCATATATCTACGGATACACGCTCGTCGGTTAAGGGTACTCTTAATCTGGCCCATTTTTAATGTATCGCCGATTTGGTCGATTAACCTTCGTCTAGGGCGTCCCTTCCCGACCCTGCCGTTCACTTCTGCAACATAAATTTGCTTTGTCACTCTTTCCTCGTTCATTCTTTCTACATGACCAAACCACCGAAGCATTCCTTTCTTAATCCTTGTCACAACGTCATCTTGCAAACCACACTTTTCTCTTATCACACTATTTCTCACCTTGTCATTCAGATTCAGCCCTAGCATACTCCTTAAGGACCGCATTTCTACAGCATTTATTCTACTCTCATACTTCTTCTGCCAGACCCAACTTACATATACACTACCATACATTAAAGTAGGGACTAACACAGCATTATGAATTGCCATACGTGCCTTATTTGACACATTCTGACTCCTCATAATAGCGTGTAGAGCCCCATTCACTCTATTTCCTGCGTTCACTCGTCGTTCTATATCCTAATCATATCTACCATCCCTGCTAAATAAACATCCCAAATATACAAACTCATCCACTTGCTCAATCAAGTCCCCTTCTATTCTTATTTCACATAACGTTTTACTTTCTTCTCTTTCGAAAACCATCACTTCGTCTTACTTGCGTTCACTTTCATACCTCTTTCTTTCAATGACCAGTTCATTAAAGTAACCATCATTTGCAACTCGGCCGCCAACGATGCTAATATAACTTGATCATCGGCGTACAAAAGGCATTTGACGGTTGACTCACCCATTCTCAACCCACATTCTTCAACTTTCAAAGTTTGCAAACAACTGTCCATAAATAGGTTAAACAGCCACGGGTAAGCCACACATCCCTGTCTGACACCTTTATGAATGCCAAACCAGTCCGAGCACGGCAGCAACGGGGTCTACCGTTGATCCTGACACAATCACTAGAGTCCCTAATAAATAAAGAGATCTTAATGTCTGTATCAAGCTAGCGCTCAACCCAAATGAGCTATAAGCCTTTTTCAAGTCCATGAACGCACACAAACTTTCTGGCTTTTGGCCAAAAACTTCTCCGCTATCATGCGCATGGAAAAGACTTGATCCGTACACCCCATCCCCTTTCTAAATCCAGCTTGCACATCCCAAATTTTTCTATCAGTTTCTTCCATAACTCTTTCAATTAACACCTTAGCATACATTCAGTTTACCCACAATGCTAAGCAAGCTGATACCACGGTAGTTTTTACAGTCCTGCTGCGAGCCCTTTCCCTTATATATTGGGACTATAACGGCTTTGCACCAGTCTTCCGGTAGCCGCTTCAGTTCCCAACATAAATTAAACAAGGTGTACAGCAGGTTTGCAACCACACCCTCTCCAGCCCTTAGCATTTCGAGTGATATTCTATCATATCCGGCTGCCTTACCTGCTTTCATGCTTTTCATTGCTTTCATTATTTCATTTACACTCCAACTGCAATCGCCAATTAATCGCCAATCTGGCTGCAAAGATTGGTGATTGGTAATTAAATCCTCATGATTTAATTACCAATCACCAAAAAAAGAGAGACCAAAAGATTGATTAATTAATTAATTATAATTCAGCGAGAAGGGCCAAATAATGATGGTTCAGAGTTATTAAAAGGATGGTTACACGTAAATTAATAGACTGTAGGGTGCGGTGTCAATTTACTATTTCGTGATACTGCAAATGCCTTAAATTCAGGCTACAGGAAAGACGTGAAGGAATGCATGTGCACTCACCTGGACTTCTGCTAATCTGCCTCGTGTCTTAATGGCTGCAAACACCAAAATATTGCCTTATGTTTTCGTTCAGGCGTTACTCTAAAAAAATATAAAATGCCTATTTATCTACAAAATTCGTAAATGCATGTAACTAAATGACGATACAATTGTTATGGGATGTATCTAAGTGACCTTTATCCGAACGGTAAATGTGAATAGCGTTTACTAGTTTCGGTGTGAGAAGTTATCGAATCCGAGTCGATTTTGCTTTCCGAGACGATTGTGAATAGCCCGGCAGAAAGAACTCGGTCGTCGACGATTCGAACCGCTCTGCGCTAGATGCGGTCAAGTGGAAGGAGCTGGCACTGAGGTGCCCCGGCCCAGAGATAAGAACATTCCATGTGGGGCCGAACTTGCGCTTTGTAAAGTTGCAAGCGATGTGCCGGCGTGAAATACCGTCTCGCTCTGCTAAGCACGCCAAGCTTTTTAGAGGCCAATTTGGCCTTCCCTTCCAAGTGACCACGAAACTGCACACTATTCGATATGTCGATGCCAAGGATTCCGATACTGGCTGAGGCAGCAAGGGGAGTGACTTGAAACTGAGGAGACACGACAAAGGGGTTCTTTTTAGCGGTAAACGCGCAAACTTGTGTCTTCTGGGGATTGAACTGGACTAGATTTAGTCGCCCCCAATCCGAGACTATGTTAAGCAAAGACTCGACTTCAGACACAAGTTTGTCCCGGTACTCGGCGACGTTTTCCCGAGAAATATTGGCACGGCCGGTATATAAGGCATCCCCAGTGCTGTCGTCTGCATAGCAATGAATGCTACCAGTTAGCAACATATCATTGATATGCAGGAGAAACAGCGTTGGTGATAGCACGCAGCCTTGTGGAACACCAGCGTTGATAGGCTTGAAATCAGAGCATGCACCGTCTACTACGACCTTGATGCTCCGATCAGCAAGGAAACTGGTGATCCATTTGCACAATTTCTCGGGAAGCCCATAGGAAGGGAGCTTCGAAAGAAGCGCTTTGTGCCAAAACCGATCGAAGGCCTTGGCAATGTCCAAACTAACGGCCAATGCCTCCCCCTTGGACTCTACTGCCTCCGCCCATCTATGAATTAAGTAGACCAGAAGATCACCAGCTGATCGACCTCGACGAAAACCGTACTGGCGGTCACTAATCAGCTGGTGATCCTCAAGGTACCGCATGAGGTGGCAGTTTATAACGGATTCCATTATTTTGGAGAACAAGGGGGTGATGGCGATAGGCCTGTAGTTGGACGGGTCTGAGCGGTCGCCTTTTTTAGGGATCGGGTGGACCAAAGCTGAACTCGGGACTACTAGTACCGGAAAAGATGCGTTAAAACCGGTGCCAACTCCGGAGCACACTTCTTCAGCACAATGGGAGGGACTCCATGGGGCCCACTCGACTTGCTGACGTCCAGGGAGAAGAGTGCTTTGCGAACCGAGCGTTGTGTAAATTGCACATCCGGCATGGAGCACTTACATCGCGGGATGGTCGGCGGTGTGTTCCCCCCGTCATCTAGAGTCGAGATGGATGCAAGAAGAGAGCTCAACAGATCGGCTTTCTCCTTTGCGGCATGGGCCAGTGAGTCGTCCTCTCTGTGCAGAGATGGAAGAGATGGCTGACAGAAGTTCCCTTGGACAGCCTTGGCGAGAGACCAGAATGCACGGGTTCCCGAAGGAAGGCGAACTAGCTTCTCGCCAATTCTGCCGATGTGCTCAGACCTTTCCTTGGCAATGACGCTTTTGAAGGATGTTTACGCCCAAATTTGGTTATGTTAGGACGTTACCCAATCACGTTCGACTTTGCCAATCGCCCGATCGTACCAGGTGTCACGCGTGTGTCGGAGAGGGGGCAGTAGAAGGGAGCTTCCCAGCGTCTTGGCGATCGGGCGAGACCGTAGGTGACGGTAGTAGCTTGGGAGCAGCGACGCGGTTAGGCCGAGTGTTTCGGCTACCGCTGCGGAAGTTTGCGCGAGACCGGTTTCGAGTGATTAGGGTCTAGAATTTGGGTTTGGGCGCGGCTTCGCTACGTAATTGTGTTTCGTGAAATCCGCCTCGGATTTGGTGGTCTAGGATTTAGGTTCCCGTACCAGAGGCGTTTATGGGGTTTTACGGTTTAAGTAAATTCTTTGAAAGTAATTGTGCATCTTAGCTAGATGAAGTGCGTGTCAACGAGGCGTATTTTTGACTCTAGCGCGACGTGTTGTTCTGGTGTTGAATGAAGTAACTTAGTTGTGTTTAACGCTGAATCTGCCGGGTGTCACGTGTTCGATTCTGCGATGAATGTGGAATTAAGCGAATTTAAGTTAGTT